CTATAGCAACATTAGCTATGCATGATCTAATAGAATGTTCTAGTGATAATCGTTCAGATTCCAAACGTGTTCTATATGCCTTTAGTCTTCAACGAGCATTATATATTTTACATTATGCAAAATGTATTCATTGTGCTAGACAATTATATGGTTTTGATGGTGAATTAATCATTGAAGAACTTTTATTAAATGGTAAACAACGTATGAGTACATTATTAATTAAAGTATATGAACGTTTAATAAAAGCTGGCAAAGATCCAACAGTTCATAGTTTACAATCAATAAAAGAAACATTTAAATCATTAGTTTCTGCACATTTTCTACAACGTATTCTAATCGATGAAACTAAACCACATATTCCAATAACAATAGAAGAAACATCAACAAATCTAGTACAAATACCAGAATTAACACCAGAAGGATGGAAATATCTAATATCAAATCAACAAGAAGAATCAAATGAACCAGCAGCAAAGAAAATTAAAGTACCTACACCAACATTTGGCGATGAGAAAATCTTCTGGAAAGTTAATTTTCAACGTTTTTTTGCTCATTTACGTGATCAAGAACTTATTCACGCATTTACAAGTCGAATCGATTCAGTAATATAATAAATATTTAGTTTGTATATATATATTCAATTTGTTTTATTTCTTAGAATGCTGGAGAAATTGTTCGAACAATACTTCGTTTAGCTGAAATCAAACCAAATCCAGAACGAACTATATCTATATCATTTATTGACGTAAATTATTTCAATTGAAAATTCTTCTTCCAATATATTTTCTTTATTTATAGATTGCAAAAACGATATCAGCAGCTGGTTTACAATTAACCGATGAAACATTACAAAAATATATGAATGTTATTACTAGTGATGTGGTAAGTCGATATATAAAATTGATTCAAAAATATAATTTGAAGATTTTTTGTTAGAATAATTGTATTATAAAAATTGGTGATCAAGGAAGAGGAACATATGAAGTAGGTAATGAAAAAAATTGATTTAGATTTCGATTTATTAAGAATTTAATTGATGTTTATATTTTAAGATTTTCAAAAAGCATTAAGTGGTTTAACTAAAGCTCATATACAATCATTTCTAAGAGAAAGATATGGTTCCAATGCATTAAGAATCTATAATATGCTTGAAGAACGTGGTTGTTTATCACAAAAACAAGTAAATAATTTCAAAAATAGTTTTTCATTTTTCATCTTGTTTTTTTTCTAACTTTAGATTGAAGATATGGCAATGATTAATGCAAAAGAAGCACAACAATATGTTTATTCGATGTTCATTGATGGAATGTTGACATTAGAGGTAAAAATATAAACTAGAAGAAATGTTGATAATAGTAGTCAGTTTTTATAATTCATTGTGAAGGACTTTTTCGTAAGAGAAAAATATAATATATTATATAAGACATAATAATAATACTTGTCAGATGACATAATTTAATCAGTAAATAGACTTGAGATGCCAATCCATTTTTTTAATTTGATTAAGTAACTGTGTCGCAACAATGAACAATGATTACGATTATTTGTCTAGACAGATACCTTGACGACATCGTATTATTAATAGACTTTTTTTTTAATTAAGGAATTATCAAAAGCAAATGATTTTAATCCAACTCGAACATTTTATTTCTTTCGTGTAAATTTATACAATGGAGTTTTATCATTACTTGATCATTCTTATAAAGTATTGTTGAATCAAAGTTTTCCGATGTTTTTCTGTTTCATAATATATATGTTCTGTTAAAATAGACAATGTCCAATTTAATGCAACGACATCAATTTGAAAAAGAACGTCATAGAAAATTAATCGATAAACGTGATAAAGTCGAAGCAATTATTCATAGTCTGCGAGAACAAAATGCAGATGATGAACAAATTAAGGAAGTAGAAGATATTTTATCACCTATTGAAAAAGAACAAATACAAAAACTTGATGCTGCCTTTCGAAAGTATGAAATTACTATCTTATATTCAAATGTCAATTCTTTGTTTTTTTTTCTAGGATTGAACTTGCTCAACTTCAACTTACAGAAACTATTCTTCTACTTGAAATGTTTCTATCCATATCAAAGAGCGTCGCACCAGCGCAAAAGAAAACTGGTGGTAGAGCCGTTGCTGCAAAATTATTGGAAACAAGATCTTAAAAATGATCTATAAAATAATATTCCATTTACTGTAAACCTAAATTATGAACATGTGTTTTTTTTCATAAATTGAACTTAAACGAGACAAAATGAATTGAAAGTATCTATAACGACATGCCTAAAATAGAAATCGACTATGCTGAAGAACGGTGAAGTTAATCGGAAAGAGAGTTGTCTCTCAGATAGCTCATTTTATTGTGCTTTATTAGTACTAGACATGCAAATATGAAATTAACTAGATTGTCTATGGCAGAGAGAATCAAAACTTATGTTGTTAATGATTTCTTATTATTGTGATGGATCAATTGTCCAAGCCATATTTGTATAGAGCATAGACCATGTCGACATATAGAATTTTGTCTTTTGAGATTAATCCATTTTTCTATATCTTCATAAAAATTTGAGATATTAACTGAATAAAATGTAACACTTAATAATTGATGAAGTTGTTTAAGAATAGTTTTAATTTCTTCGAGATTTTTTATTGATATTTTTAAATGTTCAACTGATTGTGGAATAAGTGAACATAAATGTTGAGTACTCGAAAATGATTGTTCAGTATGCATATAAGTTATTTGAAGTGTATGAATATTTGATGTATCCTTAAGTATTGCCGATATATAATCACGTAAAGTTGAATTTTGTGAAAAATCACAAGTAAGAAGATGTATAGTAAGACGAACAATAGACGATAAATCAATAATTGCTCGAAGAAAACGTGAAGAAGTATATGGATATCTTCCATCAACATTTAACGAAAGACATGTAACTTTACGAAACATTGGATATTCGAATTGTTTATTCTAGAAAAGAAATTTAATAAAAAATAGATATTTATTTATTAATCAATACTTGTATTTCATCATTAGTTTCAATTGTTTCATTTAAATTTAAAGTCATTTCATATACTTGATGTATTAATTCATTAGAATTAATTGTTGGTGTTAATGTTGAATATGAAATCTTGTTTGAATTTGTATAATATATAAATGATGAATGACATATAGGTAATGAATATAATCGAATTATTGATGATATTGTTATATAATCGCAAGTAACATACCAATGATGTTTTTCAAGCCAAAATGGTGTTTGAAATGATTGAATATAGGATTGAATATTTAGAGAATTACGATTAATATGTATTGAATTGTCGAAAAAGAATTCAAATTTAGTTAATAATGGTAATTTTTTTGAAATAAAATCTTCCCATTTCTTCCCATCCATAACTGAATCATCAGATTCAGTCCAAATAATTAATTTAATATGGCTAAGTTTCGGTGTACATGAAAGAAATATTTCCAATTCTTTCATATGCATAAAACAGGCACCAAGCGTTAGCGATGTTAGTTTTGATGGATAGATTTCATCGGATGATTGATAAATACTTCCATCAATATTATGCATCAGACATTTTGTTAATGTAAGTTTATGTAAATTCGTTGTATGACGAAGTATCATACAATATTCTTGAAATGTACAATGCTCAAGACAAAGATATTTTAATGTCGTTGGTAATGGTGGCCATGAAATCATATCTAAATCTCTATAAGATATATTTAAATGAAGTTTTTCAAGTTTTGATTTAACTATAATTGATGATAGAAGCACACGTATTGTATAATTATATGTTTCCCATGCTGAACAATGAATTGATAATGATTTAAGTGAATGTAAAGATATATTTGTTAATATTTCCAATAAATTATTTTCTTCAATTTTAATTAAATCTAATGATCGAAGATAAGAAAATTGATCAAATGAAAATCGCGATAAAAATGTACGAATTTGATATGGTGTACTAAGACTATTCGTAAGTATTAATGAACGAATTTTTTCTGGACATAGACGAGAACAAATATGATCGAAATTTATTTTTGATATTAATCTCATATCAAGTTTATAATAATCATATGAATTAACAATAATTTGAAAACGTTTACATACATAACGAAATGATAATAATATTGTTGATATATCAAGATATTTAAATATATAATAAATAAGTTCTACTGGTAATGTATCAAGTGAAGAAGAAGACGACGACATTGCCTCTTAGGATACAATCATGCACGTGCCTTCTATTATTAGACTAGTCTATACAAATCGATCAAGTGTGACCCAACCTTTGATTTTGTCTTGAACAAATAAGTATTCTTTGTATTCGTATAATAGAATAATTAATACACATACAATAGAAATAGCTATCTAATGTATTTATTTTTATTCCTTGTGTATTTTACCTCAATATTTATTCTAGGTTCTTTTACTTGAATTGGAACTATTAAGATTATATAGAATAATATAAAATTTCACTTTATTTCATAATACCAAAGAAAAATAGGAAACTGTAAAACAATCATTTTTTTTGATAAAAAATGGTAACTTGTTGTTTGGACGAATTTGATTGTATCGTTATGTGTTAACAATAATTAATCAATATTAGTTTTACTTTTTCTCTTGGAATCTTTTTGGTTGAAATAATTTGTATAAAAGAAATGCGCAAAAAGAAGAAGGTAAGACATATAAAGTGCTAATGATAATATGATATTAGTATTGGATGTATTACATATATGTTCATCTTGTTTATAATAATATGCAGATACATTGACTATACATCCGCCAATCATTTGAATAAGTTGAAGAAGAGTAATAGATGGTTGAACAAATGCAGGAACTCGAATACGAGCAGCTCGTAATGCAAAATATCCATACATAATTGTATGAACACAATAATTCATTGTTACAAACCAGTGACCAGTCGAAGCAAATAATGCATAACTTAAAAATATCAAAAAAGAATAAAATTAAAATAAATAGTTAACAATTAACTAACCTATAAAAACAATAGATAAGTACGGTTGCATGATGATACCAATGGAGAAAAATTAGTTTTTGTTGTCTTAATACAATAAATAATGTATCAATTGTTTCAGGTACTTTGGATGCCATAAATAACCAAACCCTAAATATTTAATTTTTCTTTTTTCAAAATAAATATAATGAAAGAATAGTTACCATAAACCAGTAATGCCTTTCATATATGTCGAGTCACATACGGAATACATAAATCCATGATGAGTTAAAGTATAAATTAATTCAGGTACAGATCGATATGCACCCCATAAACTAAATAATGCTAGACCAGTATTCCATAATACTAGAGGTTGACGTAATTCATATTTTTTATTCTTTTGTGCCATCCATGATTGACCTTTAAAAACAAGAATAATGTAAAATAATGCATAGACAAGACTTGTCCACCACCAATCTTGCATTAAACGTTTTACATAGTCGAAATTTTGTTTATTAAAAAAGAAGAGTTCAAAATCGAGAACCCATTGGTGAACATAACCAGTTGGATCTTTTACCGAGCGATGTACTATCATCTTTGCACTTTGTGGTTTCCTTGTGACCTCACATATATATATATATACGCATGTCTATTTTTCTTGTTTTTTTCTTTCTCAGTTTTTTTTCTATTGCGATGACTCATGTATCGTCACCAGATTCTCTTACTATTTTTCTTTATTGTACTTTAACCTTGACATGTACCACTAGCATACGGTAACAATGAAGTGCAGTCTTTATCGTTTCTTACACAACGCTTTGAAAATAAATAGTGTGCATACATTTAGACGTTGTTAATAATAATCATTATATTGTAAAAAGAAAATTATTATCTCAAATTTCTGATATAATCTTCAAAGTGTTATTAAGAAAATACGATATCTTCTTTTTTTTTTGATGAGAGACAATATGGAATAAGAATGAATCTATTCAAATGATATGTAAAAAAAATTAAACAAGATATTTTGATTAATTGCAACTAAAAATGGTTTCATCTAACGTACACTTGATAGTTTCTAAAAAAAGCATGAATTTCTATTTTTCTTGACTTATGTAATAGAATCCTTTCTTGATAGGGTATGTTAGAGTAAACACGAACTTTGTCTCGCATACGGATACTCTGAGTATTTTGCTCCGATTATAGTCCAACTATTCTTGTCTAAAATACTATATCGGACAAGGTCGCACACAGTTGTATTTGATTAGTACGATAGGAGAAATATAAAAATATACTGTCTTAGACAGATTTTTATTGAAATGCTTATCTAATAAATCTGCATCATAGTAGAATCATGTAAATATACTCATATTTACCTGACCAAGAAGTTCTGATTCAGCACAATTTCCTCACTGCTATTATGTGTAATTCAGAAATTGTAATCACCATAATTTAAAGGTTATAATAAGTAATTCTTTCTATTTGCTATCAAAATATAACTCAATTTTTATATCGAACCAAAAAAAGTAAAGAAAAAACATGTTATGGTATGAAATTATACGAATTTTTATTTAAATAACTTTTAAAAATAAGAATACATTCTAATTAGCTATTTATTTTGGTGATCGTGATAAATCGATAGGTATTTGATTGGGATCATCAAAAATTTGCCATTTTTCTGAAGGTACTCCATCGAATGCTTTTACGAAACGTTGATCATTAAATGTTTCACCTTTAATTGCTCGAATAAAAATAGCTCGTATACGTTGTGGATATTCTCTTGCTATTGTTCCATAAATTTCTGGATCTTTTTCACCACTATCACCCACTAATACATAATCACGAATTGTTTTTGAAAGAAAAAATCGTAAATAACTCATTTTATGTGTAAATGTTGATTGAGAATGAAGAAAATCAAATAGAGATGCTGCTGCCCAACCAAAATGTCTCATGTGAAATGATCCATCAGGAAAATTATTTGTATCAATAAATTCTTGTGTTAATGTATATAACTGATCGGGCATACCTGACAGATAATGAAACGTACAATTATTATTATTTTTAAACCATTTTTGATATAATTCGGCCATACCTAAACGAATAATAAAAGATTATATCAAATTGAGGGTATCTACTTTTAATTTATTTACCAGGTACAGGTATGAATGGATGAATAAAAGTATTTGCAAGTAATCGTATTTTATCCAATACTTGAGATATTTTAATAGTATCATCAATATCACTAATAATAGAAATACCTTGACGTGGTTGAATAAGTCGAATAACTCCTGTTTGTTTATCATCATTATCACCAGTAGCTTCGTATGTTATAATCTCACCATTATACTGTTGTTGTTGTTTTAATTTTTGTATTTCATCATTTGTTAATTGAATTCGTTCATAAAATTGACCATATTGATCTGTTCGAAATGAACTTGTTTTATCACCTATTTTTATTTTTATTAATTCATTTTTTTCATCTTCAAGAAAAAATGGTTTCAATCGATCATGATTAATTGATCCATTAAGATATAAAATAGCATCTGCACTTAAGAAATTTTTAGCAAGTCGTTCAACCCATTGACTTACACTGATTCCAAGCCAATTCTTTCCTCTATTATTTTCATAACGCCAACCATGTACCATAATTTCCCATGTATTATCATTACCTAAAGATTGATATGCTACATCAGGAAAAAGTAGCATATCTTCTTTATCAAAATGTCGAATATCAATATGAAATTTATTAACTGCTTTATCTTTAAATTTGTCTGTTATTTTCTGCCACAATTCACGAATTCGAAGTTCTTGAGAATGTCTTCGACTATGGATACTAACTACAAATAGGAATAGTATAATCAGTAGAAACGAATTCAATGCCATTGGTGATAAAATACAGGTAAAAGAATATTGTACGATGGAACATAAATAATGAAAGAAAATAATTCTGTTGCCGTTTTATATAACTAGAGTATATTGAAGAAGAAAAGAACGAATAAATACGTAGGACTTCAAGTTTTGCAAGTAAAACATTATGAAGTATGTATGAATAAGGATTTGTGCATCAGAATGAATGCATTTATTGTATCGATATGATTCGTTGAATCATTTTTATGTTATTCATGATTATATTATAATAAAAACAAATAAACACAGTTTTATAGTGTTGTAGTAATATAGGACATAGGTCTTTATTTATAAAGGTTTTTATAAATAGCTTTAGTATGATATCTATGAAGAAATGTCATAATAAAAAAGATATCCTTGAAAAATTATAAGGATCTGTTGATAACATTGTAATACATATATCAATAATGCCCTGAGTTTTGGATGCTGCTTAATATTGTTGTCTGACATGAAACTTAATATTTTTCTTGAAAATTAGAAAACATGCCTACGAAATCATTCAGTTTAAAAGTTTTTATTTCAATATAAGAAAAAGTAATAAAAGAAATGAAAATCAATCATTGAAAAGAAAAGGGGGTACAGTTTATTATTGTGGTACCAAAAATAAATTGTCTAACGAAGATGCATTGTCATAAATTCTTCTTTGGTTTCATAACCATCCCAGATACCTTTTGATTCAGTTTTCTTCGGTATTGTTTTATATTTAATTATCCAACTTGAATTAGGCGATAAGGAACGTGGTGAGGTCGATGCTACTGATGATGAATCACTTGCATCAGAATTTTCTAATGGAGTATTATTTGAATTAATAACTCTAAATAAAGAGATTCAAATGTCTATTATTATTATATAAAACAAAAAGTTTTCATTTTACTTGAAACGAGAAGTCATTTCAGTCATGATTAAAATTTGATAATCGATTGAAAAGAAAATTAAAAATAAAATCGATGAAAATTACGGTAAAAGTTTTGTTAGTAAAAGGAGAAGAGGAATTAAAAAAATCGGTTTAAATTCAATCTTTGATAACAGCTTTACCAAGTGATGATGCTGGTTGCTAAAATAAAGAATAAATAATATGAAATCAAATTACTATATGATTACTTACATTTTTCCAAGTTTTACGAACGCGTTTAGTTGAGTGTTTCGAGATCAACATTTACACATTAGAATAATAGAATCTAAATCAATATAGATGATCAATAGACTAAACTCTTATTTTTAGACATAAATCTCACAAAGGAATAGATAGATAGATATAATTATGTGATTGTTATAAGAAATAATAAATGGTTATGTTAGTACTTGTGCAAAGAAATAAATAAGAAGTGTTATAAGAATAAGAGATGTTTGTCTTTATATACAAATAGAACGTAGCAGAATTCAGTTTAAGTTATAGAATAACTTTTGAAAAATAGATAAGAACGGTTTGAGTTGATATAAATGTCTTTTCTCTATTGTGCTTTGTTTTATCACGTGGCCACTGCGTGATATGAAATATAAACATGCGTGATCACTTATATTTTCCACGATTTAGAGATTTAATTTCTTTAAAACGTACTCATTCTGTTATTTTATCTTCGTTATCAACATGTCTTATTCATAACGTAATATAACATCAGACATCATCCATGTTATTGAAGCATCGCATTATATTATAAAAGTTTTCAAAGTGCATATCTTAGTATACTTCGAACAATTTTATCAAAGTTGAAAGTTTTGTTTCATTGAAATAGCATTTATTGATAAATTTTGTTCGTTCACTTAATCTTTGTATTTAGTCATCATATAAATTAATTTCTATTTTATTTATTCAAATAAAAAACAAATCTCTAGGACAAATAAGAAAAAACGAGAAATATATTTAGAACAATACAAAAAATGGGAAAGAAAAGTGCATAGTTCTATGTTATTGCACATATTCAATAAGAAGGACATAGACTTGTTCATCATGATTTAACGAAGATGCATTGTCATGAATTCTTCTTTTGTTTCATATCCATCCCAAATACCTTTCGATATTGGTTTATGTACACGTTTATAATTGATTCCCCAGCCTGCAGAGAAGGGTGATGTTGAACGAGGTGAAGCAGGCATCGATGATGATTCATGGATTGAAGAATCGACAGAGGATACACTATTGGTGCGGAATTCTCTATTTAAATATATGGTTATATTTTATCTATTAAAAAATATCTTTCTTACTTGGGAAAAGTATTGATTTCAGCCATAATTCTCAGTTAATTCTTAGATAATGAAGAATGTCAAAGAAAAAATGAATAGAAATGAAAGTAAAGAACAAATGAAAAGAGAAGAGGAGTTGTTAAACGAAAATGTAAATTTCAATCTTTGAGAACAGCTTTACCAAGTGATGATGCAGGTTGCTATAAGAAAATGAAATTTTATTATGGATATTTTATGAATAAGAATGTGAACATACATTTTTCCAATTTTTACGAACAGGTTTTGTAGCACG